AAAAATCATTATTGTTGATCCTTTGTTACATAATTTTAAGCTGGGCTACATTAAGTAACTAAACGCTATGTAATAAACAGCTTTCTCTGTCTCCGTCCCGAGTATACACCCTTGGTCTAAAAGTTTGCTCCGCCTTCAATTCTATGTGCTTTCATTTTACAAATGGAGATCACCTCACAGGTAAAAATTGCTATAAATAGTGTTTTTTATTCCAGATACCACATCTAACATGATTAATGGCACAGAAAAACAAAATAACGGTGAGGATATACATATTTTATACTATTTATTCAAATTTATAACATGTACCCCCTTAAATCCGATGTTTCACTGTGCTTTCCACAGATGTAAAGAATTGTCCATTATATTAAAGACACCACCAAATGTCACCAAACTTAAGCTTTGGGATGTGCTCCTATGAGGTCACCCGCCTGATATCATGTGTATTTTCCGCGTCACATAAAACGTCACAGTAAGCAACTGAACAGAGAGTAAATAAACAAACTTATTTGCTATGGCAAAACAAAACGATCTATATTAACAGATAGTTACATATTTGGATACTAGTCCAAATCATAGGAAGAGGCTGATTTTGTGTTTGTAAACGATTATGGCATACAATAAGGGTAGATAAAACGTCTCGTAGTGCAAAATGATAATAAAATGATAATAATAAAAAATCCGCATACTTTGAACTTATTTAGGTTGAATAAAAACCAGAATTTCGTCCACAAAATGCGTTTGGATGCAATGTTTTTGAACAAATGTCAGAAAAAATCGGCATAAATATGCCTTTACTGTTTTCTCTCCCCCAACACGTATGACACTCAAACTGCATTACAATAGGACATATACTTTACATTTCAAGATTGGTGCTGCAGATAAACATTTTCGCCATGTAAAACTTTCATACTTAAAAATAAATGTATCTATTACAGCAGTGAAGATACATGCTCATCGTTTTGTTAAAATCAAAGTCTTAACTTTCCAATTGAACGTCAGGCAGTGCACTATAAGTCTTAGACTCCGTTCACATGAAAAATCTATTTTCTAAAAATCTATTTTCTATTCGCGGTATCTTGTGATCACTCCGAACGNTGGATGCAATGTTTTTGAACAAATGTCAGAAAAAATCGGCATAAATATGCCTTTACTGTTTTCTCTCCCCCAACACGTATGACACTCAAACTGCATTACAATAGGACATATACTTTACATTTCAAGATTGGTGCTGCAGATAAACATTTTCGCCATGTAAAACTTTCATACTTAAAAATAAATGTATCTATTACAGCAGTGAAGATACATGCTCATCGTTTTGTTAAAATCAAAGTCTTAACTTTCCAATTGAACGTCAGGCAGTGCACTATAAGTCTTAGACTCCGTTCACATGAAAAATCTATTTTCTAAAAATCTATTTTCTATTCGCGGTATCTTGTGATCACTCCGAACGCAGCCGAGAATTAATTACAGCTTTGGAAGTAACTGGCTCGCGCTGCCAGTAATTACGCCGCGGGGTATTCAGGGCAAAGACCGTGATCACAAGATACCGCAAATAGAAAATAGATTTTTCATATGAACGGAGCCTTAATGCATCACCGATAGCATTTCGTCCACGCTAGGATCCAAGATATATATACGGAAGCCGACTGGTGTCATGTAAAAAAATTACTATCTCGAAATTTCGAGGTAGCTACCTCGAAATATCGAGATAATATTTTTATCCAAATTTCAAAATACCAGCTTGAAATTTCGAGATCACAATTTTTTGTCCAAATTTCAAAATACTCGAAAATTCGAGATTATGATTTTTTTTTAACATGACACCAGTCGGCTTCCATATAAATGCGTTGTAGCGGAATAAAACTCTGGACCACGATTAAAGTGTCCACCCCGGGTTTAGTTGCGACAGTTCCACCGTGTTACTTAACAGCTGGTCGCTTAAGCCGAAGTATTTGTAGGTGTGTTTGGACGCTAAACGCACGTTATCTCTTCCGTGGATGTAGAAGGCACCCCCCACCACTCGGCGCACCTTTGAATTTGTGCACTGTTTGACAAACTTTTTCATATGGTCGCCTGGCCCATAAACATGAAGCGATATTGACATCCACCATCAGCGTTGGTTTGTCTGTCTGTTAGTGGTCAAGATCTTTTCAATAAGTTCTCAAATTTTGATAAGATTTTCAGGATGGGCAAACAGACAGAAAAGAGGGAAGGGACTAATAACACTTTCAACTGAATCTACCCGAAATGATTTTATTGCCTCTTTAATAAATGACTCTGGAAATTACGGTTGTGTTAGACAAGTGCACACTCAACAGACAAGTCATTAAGATCACGGGTAACAGTTATTTCAAGACCATTTTAATTTTCATTTAAAATGACAATCTTAGACAATTTAAGTCAAGTAAGCTGGGTGTACTGATAATTGACCAATAGATAAGACCCCAGCTTACAGCTACTTGTGGACCAATGATTGACAATCTTAACAGAGTGAGATTCTACCTGTAGACAACATATTACAATAGGCTGTCAGGTACTAGCATACTGGTGTGTACCACACTAGATTAAGAACACCTGGTGATTAACAAGAGTGAAAAGCAAGGCACTTTCAGTTTGTTCAGCAAAGATGTCGTATAAACATGGATAACAAGTGTATTATATAACTCAAGCAACATTATAAAATAAGACATAAGATAAGACATGAACAAAAACAAGAAGTTAAATATGAATGCCAACTATCGACCGCTGCCAAAATTAAATTATTTTTCTCAACAACTTACGAATATTTAAGAAGCAAAAGAAAACAAATAAAAAAATTCTTTTATTTAGGCGTGCACCTGTGTTTCGGGTAAAAAAACTTCAGAAATATTCTAGGTAACCTAATTTGAATTCAGGAAATGTTTTGTCCACCCACCATTGTTAATTCAATTTTGGTCCCTTGGTGAAGTCTGCATCAAAAGAGAGAGAGAGAGAGTGAGAGAATGAATGCACAACTCAAAATAATGAATACCAATTCTATCCCTTAGCTATTGCAGCCCTTTCATATGAGAAACAAAACATCTTTAAAAAATGGTTGATTCTCCAGCTAAAGGCACATTCACCATAAATTCAGAGTAAATAATATATACAATTAACAATAAATACCAGTTTGTATAAAAAATATAGTTACCTAAACTGCCCCTCAATTTAACTAGCAAATTTCCAACTTTTAAAAGTTTATGATCATGTTATGACAATACCTCTAAAGTAACCTTTTTTTTTTGCAATACTGCAGTGGCTTGATTATGGTTTTTAGCTTCATTTGTTTTAGTAAATATGAATTTTCTAACAATAAAGAATATATATAAAGACGTCATTATACAGTGCATACAGGTCTATTCACTATTTTGTTGTGTGGTAATAATATAACTTATGTGGATATAACTGGATTTAACTTTTTTCACAATCGGGACATCAAGAAATCACAGATACATGTAATTTACATATTGACTGGACTGATATTAATTTTTTTGCCATTAGCAATACAGAAGATCAATTGAATGTCATTATGAAAATCTGTTTTTATTTTAGAACAAATACGGCTGATAAATTGAAATTGCTAGGACATGATTGATGTGCAAGATTTTAAGTGATTTTGTTTGTTAAGTAATGTACAGCTGATATATTAGAAAGTGATAAGATTATGATTGATGTGCAAGATTTTCTGTGATTTTATGTTTAAGTTATGTTAAACGTTTTGCCAGCTGTAAAATTCAATTAGCAATAAAAAAGATCCATTAAATGTCATTATGAAAATCTGTTTTTATTTAGAACAAATACAGTTGATATTTTAGAAATTGCTAGAGCATGATTGATGTGCAATATTTTCTGTGATTTTATCTTTGATAAATACTGTTAAATATTTTATAGCTGGAAAATTAATTTAGCAATAAAAGATCTTTTACTGAACATCATCAAACTCTGTATTTATCTAAAACAAATACAGCTGATGTTACAAATAGCTAGGACCTACTTGATGTGCAAAATTTTAGTTATGTTGTCCACTCTGAAATAGTTTAACCTTTCCTTCTGAATCATGTTTTGTCAATGAACATGTTGATAAAATCCATTATGAAAAAATTTAACCCTTCCTTCTGAATCATCATGTTTTGTCAATGAACATGTTGATAAAATCAGCCATTCCAAAATCATTGGTTCCTATGGCAACAAACCCGTAGGCTGAGACAACAGTCTTTAGCTCAAGGTTGAACACATCTTTGCTGTTTAACATGCCCCTCACCTTCTTTCCCTAAATTGATAAATTTTTTTCTGTAAAAACCAGTTTTTAATTTGCTTTATATCTATAACAATCTAAACATGCTGATAAAAATGAGATTCTGATTACCATTACACTAAGCAGTTGAGTTGAAATTCATCCTGGATATAAATTTTACAGTTGAAAAAATGCACCCAAGCTCATGCCATTCTTTTGTAAACATGTCATTTTTGGATACAGCAGCATACCGGGTATATTAGTTTGATGTAAATAACGTTTTTTGTAACACTTGTTATTGCTGTATACTATACTATGACACTCACCTGGGCAAAAAGAGACATAGATGTCCAAGTATTAAAATCAATGCTATTTGGAAGAGTTCCGTTTGCATAAACAACTTTTTGGGCTGAAAAAGAAGATTAAAACAAAGTATAATAATTTCATTAATTAAATTTTTTATTTCATTTAAGTATAATGATTTCAATAATTTATCATTTTTTTCAAAACTATATTTGTTTTTAAAAAAGGGCTTCACAATCACATCTTTTTCTTGCTTGCTATTCTTGTTATTGCTCATACTCAAAATAATTTATATATGTATTCTTACAGCAAGTCTCAATGAAAAAAAAACTTACCATAATCTGAAGAAAGCAAAAATTTCCTTTCCCCCAGTAGCAACCAGAAGTACAGGCCATTAGAGTACATGGCACTGCATCCCCCGCTGCTGACGCGACTTGCTATAAATACCCCTGAGCTGCCATTACTTGCTGGAACTCTACACGTAATTTCTACTCTGACATCTGCCCTGCAATTATTATTTAACTTTTAATGACCATTGGGTAAAGTGTATGTCTTGAAAAAAAATTCACGAAGAATGGCAACTGATATGTAACGGTTGTTTTGTAATAATCATGAAGTCAAGCCATCTATCAAATATCTACTGAACATTATACAATAAATGAATCGTTATAAAAAGTAATTACAAAATATTTGGGATGCTTTTATTCAACACAAAAAAATGTAAACATTAATTCGAATGCTCAAGATATTTGCATATCATAAGCATACTCAGGTATTCAAAAAAGAGGTAAAAACTTGACATGTTTTTACCTGTGAGGCATGATATTTCATATCATGATATTTCCACAAGTCCGTGATTTAATCATAACAGGTAAAAACACATTTAATCTCATAAGAAACAGTTTACTTTTTTACCATCTTAACACAACTTACCATCTTAACACAAGAGACAATAAAAACATACTTCATCATATTCAGGTACTGCCTTTTGAATTTTTCCAAATGAAATCACAACCAGACAATTTCACTAACTAGACTCTAAATATTTAAAGGTGCTTTGTCTCCATACCAAGAGTGGTTTCCTATCACAGCAATGGGCCTGGGCATTCTCTTGGGCAAACAGGTGTCTATGGGAGGCTGAGGTACCACCTGACGTAGCACCTTAGTAATTCCAGGTTCAGAGGAAGACCTGATCTCAAAGGAGCCAGCTTGTGGTGCTAGATTATAAGGCTCGCTGAATTCTGCATAGTCTGGAATATGAAAAGGGTACAATAATACAGGGGACAGTATGACTGTATATTGATGTAGCCAGGATATTGCCCAGGTTGTAAAAGTTGTAATACAATATTAATGTGATTGCATGTGACTGTTATAAAGTTCACATATGAATCTATTGCGAAAGTACAGAGAGAGAGAGAGAGAGAGAGAGAGAGCATAATAAATTAAAGCTATAATAACTCTTTGTTTCGGCCAAAAAATGAATTTTCCTGGAGTAAACAACAATTTTCCCATGCTTACCAATGGTTAATGAATCCATTTTTACATTCAAAGTTAGTCCCTGGTTTTTTTCTAAAAAGTTTGGTTTTTTTGTTAAAATCTCTTAAGAGATTTTAACAAAGTATAGACATCAATGGAGGTTACGTGGTCTAAAGACAAGTTCAAATATCAGAATAAAAGCTATAACTGCTGTTTTTGTGGTAAAACAGAATATATTATATTTCTATGAGTTATTCACAAGGTTTTTATTGTGAAATATAGGTATCATACAAAGAGTTATTATGCCTTTAACTCTACTAGAAGTTTTGTTACAATATTTTCTTTTTTTACTTCAATTGTGAGATGTTATTTCTACAATCTCTTTCATTACTCTAGCTGCATGTAAAAAATGTGTCTGAATGAATGCATTCAATACCTTGGAATGTATCTTTATATGGCAAAGGAAAAGGAGCAGGTGGGGGAGGAGCTGGGTACTGTCCCTTCCTTCCACTCTTCACTGTGGTTAATGTGATTACAACATTTGGCATGACAGTTAAGCTGAAACTGCCATTCACAACCTAGGGGAAAGAAAACTATTATTGCTCAATTTCTTGAATGAGTTGGACAAGGACAATAACAACAATGAAATATTTATATCCCATCATGATATTAAAAGAATTAATGAGAAATATATTTGTAAATTTGAAGAGAAGTTATATTTTGTGAGTATTGGACCCTACACTAGATGCAACTGAAAATGTTTATGACATTTGCTCTGGATTGTTACATGAAATAACACTTAGAGTGTCTCTCCCCCCCCCCCCCCCACACACACACACACATACACTAAATAAGAACAATACTATTAATTAACAATTAATAAATTATTGAAAGAACATGTGAGTTAGAGAAGGATACAAACCTTCATTGGTCCCTGATAAATAAAAATGTCACTGTGTCCTCCCTGAGTAAAGTTGAAATGTGTAAACCAGACATCCAACTCCTGTATTTTAGACTGAAATGAAGAAAATGCAGACAATATTTCACTCAGTTAAAAAAATTAGAAGCAAAATGCTCAGTTAACACAGTGACATATACATAGACAAAAATCCTTCTTAAGCATACTTAGCAATGTTAGAAAATGGTCTTTCAAATTAGTACTAAATAATTATAAAAGAGTTTTGACTTCATGAATTCAAATCTACTATACTTACAAATGAGCCTTTCAGTGTGAACGTAACAGTTTGTGGTGCCACTGTGTACTTAGGCATGGGATAAAAACATGGGGCATCATGGGGATCCTAAAACATGGTAAACACTTCAACATTTTATATTGTCTTAAAGTTCACTTCTTCAAAAAAAAAAAAAGTAATAATAATAAATAAAATAAAAAATAACAATTAATTAATCATATAAACCGTTTACATTTCAAAATCTTACATTTCAAAAAAATTATTCCTTCAAAAAATGAAAAAATAGCAAATTTCATTCCTTAATCAAACATCACTAGCATCACCATTGAGCAAGATATTAATCTTAGCCTCTGGTAAAAATTCAAAATGCAATTGTGGGCCTTATATTACACATCATTGTACAACCATACCATATTCTCTATCACAATGGTCAGCTGAGACCTGTCTGGACTGGTCAGTGCAATATAACTGCCATTGCTGTCCAGATGACCAGAGCCATGACCATGGTCAAGATAGCTCCAGCCAATTTCTGTGAACTGAGTGTAATGAGCTAGAAATAAAAATTTTAACCAATGAAAAAAACAATTTCACAAGAGTTGTCTCATTATCAAAACTCAGCTTTTACTAAAATGATTTTCAATCATATCGAAACATGAGTCAAAAGATATGTATCTTTATATAAAAGCTGAAATTGTGCGTTGTCACTTTTATACAATACAATACAATACAATACAATACAATACAATACAATACAATACAATACAATACAATACAATACAATACAATACAATACAATTTAGAGAGCCAGAAGTTCTTACCACTCATCCAAATAGGAGTATTGACTACATAATATCCTGACCAGGGCTGGTTGGCTGTCATCAGACCAGATCCACTGTAGGGCAAGGCAGCACTGTAACTGGAGATCAGGTTCCATGCAATGGCACTAGAACCAAAATAATTAATTGTGAATTAACTGCCCAGTGTGTCTATACACAACCAATTTCTAAACATCTTCAGATATGGTTCTTTCTTTTTTCATAAGCTACATAGTAAATTTTGGTGTTTATCAGTTACTTGTTAAAATGTTTCCTGAATTTTGTGAGGTTTTCATTTTAGCATAATACTGACTTATACTGAAAAAGTAAAAGAAACAAAAAAAGAAACTATATTAATATAAATAAAAATAAATATGTATAGCAAGACACAACATAACATTTCAAGTCCCATGAGATACTTTATAACTTAATTTTTAGAATACCTGGTTAGATTTCCATTCACATAGCCTTCACTGAGGACCTGGAATATGTAATGTTACATACATTTACACTTTTCTAAATCAAATTAAATCATTTGTATGTTATATGAAAACTAAGGCTTACTTCAAATCAAAAGGAATTTTTCAAAATCTCTCAATGTAATCAGTTAAAGCTCCCTTATGCACAGTTTACATAAGCATGCACTGGAATAACCATAAGATCTGGACCTAATATAACCAGAAATTCCTCCTGTGCAAAAGTCAGAAAAAGAAGAAGGTTAAATCACTCTCTAGACCCACTGGGATGCCTTGCAGGCACAAACGTAGCAGATAAGTCAGATATATCAGCAGATTTTTTTATAAATATGCAAAGAAAGAAAGAGAAGGACTTAAAACTGACCCTGGCCCAGCAGCCTCCACCAGCCAGGTTATTGAAAGCACTATATTCCTCTGAAGCCCACAGTTTTTTCCCTGTCTTCTGAGCATCTGCCGTAGCCATACTACCAGGATAGTGAGCTCTGTAATACATACATAAAAAACTTTGATATTTTCTTCAAATAATGTTCAGTGTTGTACAAAGAGTCAATTAAAAGCAAGTTATTTGAACATGCTCCTCTATCAATTAACTTCATGAATGAAAGATTCTTAAAATTAAATAAATTGAAGTAAGCAACGTAAAATGTACAGCTTTCATTCTAAAAGGTCACAGGAGTGGTGACAAGGGATGTTACACAGAGAAACAAGTAATTATAGTCATCTTACCCCAAAATACTAACTGCGTTTGCCAAATCAGGATCTTTCAAAACATCAGACGCTATTCCCCAACCACCATCAGCAGCCACAATCTGTGTATGACTAAAGCCTTGATTGTCCAGAGACTTGCGTAGCATCTGAAGATTAACAGAAATAAAAGACAAGAACATGTTTTTAAAGAATAATTCTTGTCTGAGAAGATTTTTGTTCAGCTTTTTATTGTGCTAAAGCATTTAACTAACATTTATTAATGAATATTTAAGATAGGACCTTCCATTCGATTTTTATGGTATGTGATTTTAAGAATATTAGAAACCGATTTAATTCTACCAGTGTTGATAATATATTTTTCACCAAAGAAAATAAAGCCAGAGTATTACCTTGATGTAGTCTATATCATAGCTTCTTTCATTCCAAATCTGTAAATGAATACAAAAGAAGCATTATTATAAACATGTTAGGTTTTCATAATTAAAATAATAATAAGAAGAATAAGAAAACTAAACCACTTACATTCAAAGGACAATAAATGTTAGCTCTGAGGGGTATTCTTAATACAAAACTTTAAAAATATCCAACACACACATGCATGCATGCACACTGCACACAGTAGACTTTGAATAAAATGTTACTTTATAACTGGAATTCTCTTTATATTTAACAAATTTAGTAGAACTGATTTCTTCTATGGCATTACCTTAACATTATGACCATCATCTTAAATGTGTGTGTGTGTGTGTGTGTGTAACAGAAAAATATATAATTATAAATACCCCAATATAATCAATCTGCAAATTGTGCACTTTTGCTGCTCCCTTGATCCAGGAAGTTATATAGTACACAAGTTTCTCTCTCATAGCATATGGATTGAATGTTCCATTTCCTAACCAGCCAGGGAACACCCAGGGAAGACCATATAACTTTATGTTGGGATTTCTCTAAAATATGTGCGAATATGACTTAATTATAGAAAAAACAAAATTAATGCTAAATGAAGGACTGAACCTGCCTTTACAAAAATGTGGGCTTTTTTCACATAGAGCAGTAAACTTAAGCCATACAGTCATTATGGGTAAATTTTGAGAGATCCTAACATGTATTCATGATACTGGGCTTTACTTTGGTTCCTACTGTTAATTAGCTAATTAAGGCTTCATTCACATGCAATGTCTATTTTCTAAATTCTATCTTCTATTCGCAGTATGTCTTATGATCACGGTCTGTGCCCTGAATATCCCGCCGCGTAATTACTGGCAGCGCGGGCCAGTTACTATAAGTTACTTTAAGTAACTGGCTCGCGCTGCCAGTGATTACGCCGCAGGATATTCAGGGCATAGACCATGATCATAAGATACCGCGAATAGAAAATAGAATTTAGAAAATAGACATTGCATGTGAATGAAGCCTAATTGGCAGTGTCGAGGGCTAAAACCTAAAAATATGCAAAATATTCTTCTAACCAAGAGCTATAAAAGTGTACGGTATGTCTTCCAATATTTCAGCAGGTGCCAGACACTTTTATTGGGGAGTAACTGATTATACTAAAATAGGTTAATTTTACCTTGAAAACCAGGTCAATGGCCCTACAATCACTGTCTCTTGATAAGAAGAAAATAATATTCATGTCTTACATAAATCATTTACAAAACTCTCTCAAAGATAATTCAAATAAAACCTAAAAAAAATATTTCACCTTCTTAGCCTCCTTCATCATCCACCATTCATATCCTCTCTGGAAGCTGACATCTACTTCTGTGTGCATGTGAGATGACTCCACACCATCTGAATATATAGATAAAAATATACAATCAGTAATCAGTATTATACAATAACATACTAATCATACATGTTATACATGCCACAACAATATTTGCGTAAAGTTCATTAGATATTGAAATTTTCAAATTAACCAGGGGACACTTTGATGTGTAATTTTTAAAGCATTGTACATGTACCTGTACTTTGTGAATCACCTCCAATTTCTACTTTTAATATTTGAAGGGAAGCACCAAAATTGGGCTGAAATGATTATTCAAGGGTTATTATAATAAATACAAAGACGTATCTGATGAAATGAGAAAAAATTATTGATCACAATATATATATATTTAATTCTTACAACAGCTACCTGATCCTGAGTTAATTTCAGTTTGTGTTTAATTTTAATACATTTCATAGGTAGAGTGGACAAGATTTCAATAAATTATATTTAAATGATATCTATCAAAAAAACATATCGATGGCATTGGATTTGTATCAGATATAAACTCACCTTAAATAAAAAATCTAGCACCTGGTTTCTCTGAGCCTCTGGATAATTAACCAAAAGTTTTGATGTAGCCTGAAAGGCAACAGATATCATGTTAAAACTCAACTTTGACAACTTGACAACATTTTTTCTTATAGATATTATAGGCTTTTCATAAAAATAAAATTTAAGAAGAAAATAAGAGATGAAAAATATTAATAAACCAACAAAATCTTTTGCCCAAACTTCTTAGGAACTGTAGACTTCTATGAATTATAAGATCACCCATTATAATATTGTCATTTCAAAACTGAAACTATGAAAATATTTTGATTGTAAATATACAAGAGTTTGTTCAACTATACTGTTCTTGGAATTTATTTGTTTTTTATTGAAAAGTGGAACAAATATATAAAGTATTGGGAAAATATAAAGTACTGGAAAAATAAAAATGCAATGAAATAAGAATGATAATACATCAATAGAATAAAAATAATGATTTAACAAAAATTGCAGTCAAGAATTTCATGCTAAATTGCATTCATGCAGTGGAATAAAAAGTGCCCAGAAAAAATTCTAATTATACCTACAACTGTATTTCAGACTTATAGTCAAAGCAAAAGCCCTTCACCCAATACAGATCATAATTAATATTCATATGTGTACTTACACCTGCACTTAATCCCCCAATCCCATCAAAATACCTCCCAAGTTCATATGAATCATCTACAGTAATTTTCTGGTGGTCATTTGGCATTCCACCATTGACTGCCCAACAATTCCGAGGCTAAAATAATCATATTGTTATGATTTTTAAAATTATTGTCCGTGTTCAATGCTGCTAATTAAAGTGGGGGCTGGGGTTGCCTCAGTTTTTTGGCCTCACATACTAGGTTCTTACCGGTGGGTATACCTAAACTTGCATTAAATCTGAAAACTGAGGAAATGCAAGTACCTATAACCACAGAAGTACATGTAAAGTACTGTACTTCTATGCTACAGGTATAACCTTGTAACATGTATAAGGCCTAATAACGAGGCAATCATATTCAATCACTCTGACATCTTTGGGAAATAAGAGAAGAATGATGGATGATTTAAAAAACATTCTGGCAGTGCACTGTCACGAAATAAGCCAAGACCTGAAACTTACTCCTCCTCCACTTATTGCCCCGATACCATCAAAATTTCTTCCCACTCCATACGAGTCGTCTACGTTGACTTTTTGAAGAGCACATTGTGCTCTACTTAGAATAAGCCCTGGGAAAGCCAATAAAACAAAGAAATTATATGCATGTCCCATTTCCATCGGTTTCACTTATGATGTACTTGTAGCATCATACTGGTAGCATTATCAAGCTAGCACATAAACATTCAAGTGGTCAAAAAAATTTCGGTCATGTGTGTATGAGTGTTTAACGACTGGTTCCACGCCCGCTTCCTCGGAAACTAGCAAGATCTTTCTTGTTCAATCGTTTCTAAAATGAAATACGAGCACAAAGGATGCATGTGTCTTTTGTTGAAGAAGCAACCACTGCAAAATTCAACCGTTTAGCAATGAGACACCGGGGCCTGGAACCGGCGAAAGTTTGAGCATGTGACCTGTTATTTTCGTTTACATACGGGTTCTTGACATGGCCGCGTCCTTAGAAATCGCGCTAAATTTGTATTACATTTCAATTTTTATCAACGATTGATGTTTAAACTACAAAGTTCACATTATTTGTGATATTACTCTTGTTATACAATCTATAATGGATCACTTATCGAATGGTTCCTCTATGCAAGATGCAAAAGTGAAGGCAGATAGATTTGCAGCTCTTACAGATGCAGGAAATATTCGAGTGAAAGCAAAACAGGCAATCTTGCAAGAGTTGAACACTCAGCTGCAAATCAAAGCAGAGCGTGTCAGAATGTTAACCCGCCAAGGGGCAGATTCTTCAGATAATCCTTATGCTTCCCCCGGATACGAGCACCACCGAAAATTGCCACGTGCAGAAAATATGAACCCAATCTCTCTGCCACCCAAAGTCAATAGGCAGTCACCAAGGCCAAGGGGAGGGAAGAGGACAGATGCTGACTCAGGGTATGGCATTCACAAATGCTGTTTAACACACACACACACACACACCTAATAATTGCAGCTGTATAATGTGTATTTTGGAAAAGGCCAACAAACCAGGGGTACTAACAGTGAGTCAATTTACACAGTAGGTGGCA